ATATATGACTTTTCAAAAATTCTGTGAAAATAAGCAAATGAAAAATATGACATTAGCAAAAAATATCATTAATTTTACGCAAATCTAACCTCTAACTGTGGCTAAAATAGCATGTGACTAAGCAAACGATATTGTTACCTATACATATATTGCTCGGGGTCCTAATAGATTTCACTAAACTCAGCCTACTTATTTACATTAACTTTCTTTTTACATGGTTGATTTTACCAATAATACTAACAATTTACTTTAATAATTCGTTCTTATAGATAAAAACAACTAAAGAAAAAAAAGGAAGAAAATTTACAGATCAGATTGACGCCGTAGTCCTACAGTAAGCATGATTTTTTTAATAATTTATTCTTATTATTTTTTCTTTTTTTTCTTTTTTCGTTCTTGGTATGGTGTTGCGATCCCGTTGATCCATCAATCCGCGGATTAGATCCGGATGAAGATACGAATAATTAACATTGCTATTTCTGTATATAAATCCGAATCCATCCATTTGATTAGTACTGTTTATAATAACGGATCTATACGAATGGTTATCCGGATCATCCGTTATTTACGGATCGGTCATCCGGATGGTCATCCGATCGTAACACTATGGAGTGATGATATAACCAAAATAAAATATTTTGTTGAATTAATATGCTTTGTATGATTTTTTAGTTAGATTAAGTATATTTTATTTACATAAAATAAAAAAAAAATGTTAATTGATCTTAATTTAACTAAACATGAAACAAAATTTTATATTGATTTGAACTCATTTAATCCTGTTGCAATAATACAACAGGTTATAGGTAGTAGTAAAACATTAAAAATAAATTATTTTAAAAATAAATCACTAACAATGAATGTGTAAGAATTATAAGCATGAGATACTAAAAACAAGCAGGAAATAATTTTTCAATCAATTCATCAATTCTTGCTTAATATCATCAGCCCATAAATCTAAAGTGAAATCCAAAATATATGTATTTAAATTCTGATTTACAAATATATTTTAGAATTACTAACTAATGAAAATCTGTAAATAAATCTTTTTAAAAGATCCTATAAAAATGAAATGTGCTAAATTCGTTATATTTGTGTTCATGTATAAAAACATCTAAAAAAGCATCATTTTGTCCGATTTGTTTCATATTACAAAAAAACAAAAATTAAACAAAATGGTACTTTTTTAGACATTTATTACATTTATTACATATGAGAACAAATATAAAACAAATTTAACACATTTCGTTTTTATAAAGAGAGCAAATGCTTTAGCAGGAATAAGTTATTGATTTGATTATTATAACTCACAACCTTATTGATTGAATCCTTCATTTGTCACATTAATGGAATTTCAAATTTATCATCTATAATGTGAATTATTTATCTGAATTAGCAACTTGATCTTTCAGTTATTATATAAAATGCGATAACATGTTTCAAAGAAAACTCTTTAAGTATATCTATAGATGCTATATTGTATCTTGCTAATTTCGGCCATTGAATAATAAAATCTAAAATAGGTATGTTATTAGTATTTTAAATTGATAATTCTCAGAAAAAACAAAGCATTTTTCAAAAGAAAAAGTAATTCAGATAAATCAACTAAATTTGTTGAACTATTTAAAATTATTAAAGAATTTGATTGCTGAAAGAATGTCAAGCAATATGATTATTATAATTTCGTCGGTACTTGTAGTAATATGAATAAATGGATCTACGATTTTTAGTTATTCTTAATAAACTGGCAAATTTATTTTATAAAATTATTATAATACAACTCTGAATATTTTTTGCAAATATTCAAAATTTGGATATATAGAAATCAAGTTGTTTTTAAAATCTTCGGACGATTTTCAATTAATCCATCATCATTTCTAAAACTTGGTTTAAATATCTATACCTTTTTATAAGAATCATTTAATCATTAAGTATATTATTTTATATGTAGAAGATTTTGCTTCACTTAATTTATTAATGCTGACTATTGTATTAATGTTTACATAAGTCGGTTTTTATTTTAGATTCCTTATTATTGTCACCATTGAAAAATGTAACTAGTACTGCTGATAACTTTTCAAATGAATATAAAATTTTAGCAATAGTTTGCTTAATAATCATTCGTACGTAATTTTTGAAAAGCAAGTGAAAAGCAAATAAATTTTGATAAATATATTTTATCTAAATCTACTTCATATTGCCAATTTATACAATTTTCTAAAAGTTTTAGTTTTGATACAATGTATAAATTCGAATTGTTTAAAATTTGGTTATTCAACATAAAATCTCCCCTAAAGTTTTGAGCCAAAATTTTGTAAAAAATCCGATTTTAGCCGGCCAAATGGTCAACCAATCTTTCAATATTAAATTTATTCAAATTTATGTTTATTTATTTGTTTTGAAAATTATAAAATTACAATTAATCTGAAATATCTTCAGTAAAATTACTTTCTCTATTAATACTTCAATAAAATGAGACATTTTAATAAATAATTTTATAAAAACAAATTTTTACTGTTCCAATGAATCAAGTATAAAATGAATTAGGTATTTGGCCATTTGATTAACATTATATTTAGCCAATTTAGCCAATTTGGACAATTTAGTTCTTGATTCCAAATCAACTTTGGCCGTCAATTTTGGCCCGTTGGCTTTGGCCGATCGGCCAAACAAATTGACTTGGCCGCGGCCAAATGCCAACACTGCTTAACGGTATTTCCGGTGATTTTAACGACTCAATAGTAATTTGTTTCCAGCCACAAATAAAATTAGATTTTATTGAATTTGATTCATAATCTCGTCGAATATGAAATATTATGCATGCATGCTTAATAGGCATATTTATTTCACATGTTTCTTTTTTGGTCAAAAATTCGCTTCGAAACTGTTCAATAATATACTTCACTAATTTGACACATTTAATATTAATAGTATTAATATCACACTGAAGAATTAAAACTTGATCTATTGGTTCAAAAAAGAAATCTTTTACAATTTTTGATATTTGAACTTCGGTCTTAATGATTGACAAATTATGTATTTGATATCTTAAACAATCTTGTAAACAAGATTTGAGATCTATGGTTATCTTGGAAAATGTGTTTATAATCACCAATTGCCCCTTAGGATCTGAACACAATTTTTCTTGATCAAATAAAGCGTCAAAATAATTGGAAAGGCCATTGTGATGTTGTTGATAATAATAAACATGTTTCCATCGATTAACTTCATCTTGATCTAAAATTGATAATTCTGCTCTTATAATTCCATCAGAAGATGCTATCGCAATTAGTGATTCTTTGCATTTTTCTAAAATCTCATTATCATTAGATTCGGGATTATTTTTTGTAATGTCAATTATTAGACTTTGTAAAGTTTCATCTTTATCAAATCCAATGAATAAATCCTTTAATGTGAATTTATTACATGAATGAGTAATTGAATTGTCTTTAACCAGAGTTGACATTTGTTTTGTCCAATTGTCTAAATACTCTACAAGTAATTTTTGCCTATCATTAAGTATGTCATTTATTGACAATTTTTGCTTTTCAAATCGATTAAGAAGTTGAGGATCAGCCAAATCCAATTTATTCTCATTTATAACAAGAATACATTTAAAATTCGGCGAAACGTAACTAATAAAATATATATTAGAAGTTTTCTATTGAAAATATACTAAAACACATTTAATATAAATAATGAATTTTCAATAACTACTTACAGCATAGGATTGGCATACGCTCCAAGTGCAACTCTCGTAAAGTATTTGACATTATTTTCACTTCCCACCGCAATATAATTTTGATTCCATAAATCGTAAAGACTCCCTATCGAAATAGGCAAAAAAAATTTCTTTATTTACTTGATTACTATGTCTATGATAGCAAATGAAATAATTACCATAGATTGTTTCTAAATCTGTTAAAATTAATGGTCTGCCTGCTTCAACGCACATCTAAAATGATATATTGATTTTTAATATAAATAAGCATATTAAACTAGGAAAAAAAAAAATTCTTTGGGTTGAAATTAAATTATTAACCATGATTCTCCTCAAAACGCTATAATAGTAATCCTCTTGATCATCGGGAAATTGTGATCCTAGAATTATAACAGGATCCAAATCTCTCCTCCTTAGCTGATAAGTCAGCAAATTTACAATTGAATCACTTTTACTGATAACCATTAAATGACGTGCATCAGAATCATTAAGATTCGAATCAATTAATTGTCCGATTGGAATTTGTTCATATATCCATGGCTTATGATTATTAAACATCTTTAGAACGTTTCCAAAATATTGATCACATAATTTGACATGATTCTCGGTTCCTCCAAAATTACGAGCTAATGCCATTTGAACATTCCCCGGAGTCATTTCGTTTAATGAAAGACGCTTCACCAGTGCATAATAATCACGAAGGCCGTGAAAGTTAGACGAAGTTTGGCCATTTTTTTCATATTCCGAATATGCTTTAGCTAAAGGTTCTAAAACGAATCCTTGTCCAATAATTCTAGTATTTAATAAACGTTCGGCAGTATCAACTAAATCATGTAAATCAAACTGTGGTCTGTAGAAGACGTAAAATAAAACATAAAATTGTGAAATTATATAAATGTTTATCAATATTTAAAAAAAAAAAATCGTACCTTTGAACAAGTAATGCACGACTACTTTTACTGATATCTAAGCGCCAATCAGATATTCCTATCACTGAAACAGCTGGTCCTGTGGCCGGATAGCTTGGCTCAAGCAGAGAATGAAGTACTTTTAATGGATTAAAAGGACTTGTCTCGGCTAAACCAACTAATAAAATAAATTCGGTCAACTTCAATTTAAAAAAAAAACAAACAAAATAACTAATGCAATAAAAATTGTAAGTAAAATGAAAATTACTTTCATCAAGTAAAACAACACTAATAACAGGAAATTGATTGGAAGTCGTTTCTTGAAATTTATTTGCCTTATCAAAAGCCTTTATTATACCATCAGAAGTTGAAAAATAATTGCCTTGATGTGGAATTAAGTAAAACTGTGGCAACTTTCTGAAATATTTATCATTTGAATCAGAACCGCGTAAATTCGAACTTATAAGACGAATTGCCAAAGATTTTGAAGAGCCAGTGGTCCCTATAAGAAACAGTGGGATTCGTGTCAAAATACATACAATCATAGCAAAAACATTCTCTAATAAAGCTTCATTATGCGCTGTACTAGGTGGACATTGCATTCTATTAATGTAATCCTCCTGTTCTTCGCGAATAATTTTAGCAAACATGCTTTCTCCTACATAGTAAGCTTGGTGATTTTGAAATATTTGTCCCATTTCACTACGATATTGTTTGCGTAAATTTTGATCATCTAAACGAGAATGGTAACAAAGACTAAGCGCTAAAACATAAGACCTAGTCTTTATAGTTGGATTTCCAGGTGGTGGATAATTATGACCCTTCTTGTAAGCCGGACGATTTTCAAGAGAATTATAAAAGAATTTCACCAACGTTATAGCTCGTTTCACATCACGTAAGCTAACACTATATGATTCTTCAACATTTCGAATAAATTTCTGGGAAGCATATAAGAGTTCTGCAAATGCAGGATGCGCTAATTTTTTTAATTCTTTTTCAACCATGATATGAATATATCTGTATTCATCTTCTGGTTTCAGAATACCATAATCCCAAACATAATCTAAAATTTGATCAGGAAGTGGTTTGACCTGATAAACAAGATGATTCCGTTCTTCGTACATTTTAACCTTATTTATCAAACCAGTTTTACTTGGAGTTCTTTTACGAATACGATACGGATTACAGGCAGAGAATAAACGAATATTTGGATGTATAAGTTTGCCATTAAGCATTCGACGAGATATTAAATCTGCAAGTAAACCTATATGATTGCAAGTATTGATCTCATCAAAGAATAACCAAATTTCTCCCTTTTCTGCTTTTTTCAAAGCGTCATTCATAAACCTCATAATAATTCTTTCATCAATTCCAGCATGCAGATTAAGAGCCATGAATTGAACTTCAACAATCAAGGCCAAATAGGCAATTAAGCTTGTCTATGTATGAATTATGAAATGAAAGACTGTTAATAACAGAAACAAACAAAAATTATACCAAAACGGATTTTTTTTTTACCTTGCCACACCCTGCTTCACCACAAACTATGACCGGAATGTTCGCACGTGCTCTTAGAAGAATTAAAGCCATCTTTATTAAATTGTCACCAGATAAGGCATATTCAGGGAGATCTAATTTTTCTGTCGATCTTCGCGCCAAATATTCCAACTTTACGAAGAGGGCATTTGCGGACATCGAATTATAATCTTCTAATTCCCATTTTGTTTGATCACCAATTACTTGACCTTTTAACAAAGTCTTTATATTTTCATGAACTTTATTTCTGTCACGATACAAAACTGATATTGTATCGGGAGTCTGAGAATTGAAAAATACTATAAGATGATTTGAGTCGTCCCATTGAACAATTGTACCACGACGAGCTTTTTCATCATCAGCATCTACTATGACAGCACTTGTAGATTTCAGCTGTGCCTCTTTTGTTTTAATAGAATTGGTTGCAAAATCTCTTGAAACATCTATAAAGTTTCTTAATATAAGAATTCTAGTAATGTTAAATTCTTCTATTAATTTAAGTTTATCTACGGTAAATAATTGACTTGATGAAAATCGAACCAATTGATCTGCTAGTACATTAATAAATATTTCAACGAATCTAAATGAAGAAATGTCTTTGGTAACTTTGTTAAATAAATATTTCTCAATGAGATTTTGGCAACGTTCTACTGGTAATGGTTCTTTAATTGCCTTATGTTTCTTGAAAAGGTTTTCTTTTATATCTATTTCACTATTATCCAATAAATTCATATAATTACAAGCAACTTGAATTGGACTATGAATTTCTTGAGAAACTCTCAAATTTTTAATATTCCAAGTTAAATGATTGAACAATAAATATCCTGTCATGGGAAGAGAATTAAGTAAATGCTGTTCTGTATTTGAGGCTACTTCTATATAAATATATGTTGGTGTTTCTGATAAAGGCAAGCAAACTATATCGACATTAGTTGAAACTATACCCAAAGTTAATAACTCAAATAAAAACATGTTAACGTCTTCAGGATAGTTAGCTGAAATTATATTGATATGTAAACTTTCTACAGGTCGAAGTTTATATTCCTTGAATTGACGTACAAGCCTGCAAAAATCCATACCATCGCTTATTAAAAAACTACATGTAAATTTCTCTTTACTTAAACTATCTTCTTTAATCCAATCAGTTTTACCCTGCCCAGATAATTCAGAAGAGACACGTATAACATTTTGACATAACTCCTTATAAATTTCTCTCATAGCATCAGTGTTTAAGCCATTAGTCACATAAGCATCTGAAGAGAATTGATCTAAAATATGATGATGCATTTCAATTCCTCTGCAACAGATAAGTGCCAAAAAATAATCTTCTTGATCTCGTGTTAATTTAATTTGGTTAATTAAATTAAATTGTAATTCAAAGTCTAATAATTCTAAATTTGCAATACAAAATAAGCGATTTTCATATCCATTATTCGATGCGAATAAACTTCTTTTTATGAAGTTTGTCAGTTCCTCCATCGTAGTTGAAGTAGTACATATCAAGAGTTGCCACGGTTCGGGATAATATCCATGATTAGCATATAATGACATGATAATATTTGGAATTCGTGTTTTGTCAGTACAAGAAGCGACGAAAATTTCGCCCTTTCTAACTAGATCTGTAATTATGTGTTGTCCAGTCGCTTTAACTTTACGTGATTGTTTTGGGACGTTTCTAAAAATTCTTTCTAATTCATTTCCAATTTCGGTAAGAATCTCAAGATAATTTTTAGATCCACGTAAAATTTTTTGTATATCTTTTCGAGTTGACGGTAATTGGGCTTTACTGTTTACAAATCTAATCAATATTTTGCATTCTTCTTCATTATCCTTATCTAATTTTTCTGATATGAAATAATCATAGAATGCTAAAATGTGGCGAGCGAGAAAGAATGTTAAATAATAACATCTTTGTTGTGCACGATCTACTATATTTAGCCTTAATTTGTAAAAATTACAAACTCGTTAATTTTCTTACAAGAAAGAATAAAAAAGCAATAATATTAAAAAAATTGAAATTCACCATTCTTTAAGTTCTTCCTTTAAAAATTTCAGGTAATCTTTCATATTATCCGTTCCTTGTAATTTATTTTCGAATTTTCTATAACCAAAATGCCCCATTTGTATTAACATGGACACTATGTTAATTATTTCTTGTGCAATATCGACTTGGACAACAAATTTATCCATAATATCTTTGGACATTACTGCCTCTTTGTTATTTATCATAACCGAAATTTTTGGTTTTGCAATCAAAAGAGCCCGTCCACGTAATTCTAATATTTCGTTTAGATTATATTTCACATTAGATTTAGAGGGATATTGTAGAGAAACTAAACATTTGTCTTCTTCTTGGTCACGTGTAAATGTGAAGGCCCCATTAAGTACAACATTCTTGATTTTTTCTTTAGTAACTTCTCCACGATTTTGAATATTATTATACATATTTTGCAGCGCCATATTGCTACTATTACATAACGCAATCTTTTTTCCTAACGTAGGATTCTTCTTAATGATATTTAGTAATTCTTTTAACAAATTAGAAATAGATTCCATATTTTTATTCATAAGAGGAAATAAAAATTGTTTAACTTGGATGAGTGATGAAACAGCATCTTCTTGAATCAATCTTTCCTCCGAATGATCATCCACACCATTAATCAGATTTTTAATATCATGTTCGGCAATTTTTTTTAAGAAACTTAAAAATTCTTCAGCGCTTGATAACTCTTTTATCAATTTCCAACAATCTTGATTAACATTAGAAAGATTCCTATCAAGGTAATCGAAAAAATTATTAATTTGCCCAAGGTGCATGGAATCATCTTTTAAAATACGAATTGCTTTTGATAGCCAATCATCTTCATTGTGTGGTACTTTGAAGATTTCCATTTCCACGACCTTTTCTAGCTCTTCGAGTCGTTGGACCCAATGAGGAATTTTTGAAAGATAATCAAGAGTCTGCACAAACCTTTGACTTTTAGAGATTATACAGCCTTCCATCAAATCAAGCTCCGAACTAACATCTGTAACATTTTTCCAAAGCAAAGATGCTTCTGGGCATTTGAACTTTTCCCAATCCTTAAGTTGTATACACATAGCATTATACTTTACAAAAACAATTGGGATTAAATTTTGTGCTATGTATTCTACTTTTATTGCAGCAGCGTCTTTCTCAATACAAGCATCGAAGATATTTCGAAAAGTTTGAGATCGATTAAATTTGTAACAATTTCTTGCACTGTCCAAAGTTTTCTCATGGAATACCCAATGATCCGATAAGAACACTTGTTTCACCTTTATTTTATCTAAAGTTTGCAAATGTTGTTTTACATCTCGAATATAATCAGCTACATCTGTTACTTTCTCGATTGGACAAAATCCGTTATAAAACTTGGTGAGTACATCGAGTTGAGTTTGATAATTATTATATATCTTTCTAAGTTTTGCAATTTCATCTCGAGAAACGATTACGTCTCCTAATGCTTTCTTCTCAACAACAGCCGCATCAAAATGTCGAAATAGGTATTCGTCATCATATTCTAAAATTTGTTGCAATAATTGAATATCAATAGTTTTTTCAAGAAGAAATCCAGCAAGTTCGTTAATAGACGTTTTAATATTTTCAACAAATGGGTTTGAATTAAGTTTTGCGACGCTTCCAGTAGCGCGTAATATAATATTCCAAAATTTACTAGCCTTTAAAATATTCAAATGATGTTCTGAAGCGCTGGATACAGTCGATTGGCTTTGCAATATAGTCATAATATGATACAAAATATCTTCGCTTATCCTAACGATTTATTAATAACGATTTATTAATAACAATAAAAAAAAAAAAAAAAAAGCATTAGCATTTTAAGAGACAAAAAATTATTACAAAAAAAAACTTACATGTTTGGAACGTCCAGAATCTTGGTTGTTTTGCAATCGCATCAGCATGAGAAATATTTGCTCGAACTTGTTCTGTAAAACATTTGGAAACACTTTCATCAAATTCATTATTATGTAAAAGAATATCATCCCAAAGTTTAAGAAGAGAGTCCATATTATGACATAATTGAATCAACCACTAAAAATATAAATATATTTAATTAAAATCAAATTAGATCAAATTCGAAAAAAAATTTACACCAAATTTACCCTTGCAATTTCAACATAAGATTCAAATTTAATTTTCTGAGTATAAGGTTTAATGATTTTACATCCTTCAATGAATTTTTCTAATTTATCATCAGAATATTTTAAGGCTTTTAAATGATTAATGAAGGTGTAATCAGGATCAACTTCAGAAGCGATTGTAAAAATAATGAGCCAATCTAATTTAAATTTCATCTGAAAAGCATTATGCTGAATTAAAGTTATGATAGCAGTATGCATTTGATCTTTGGTGTCTAAAGGTAAGAATTCTTGTTTATAATCCTCAAGTGTGTTAAGCAATAAGTTTGATGGGAAATTATTTGGTAATTCATGAGGAGAGCCTTCTTCTCTTTTTTTTGAAATATAATACCCTAAGAGAACACATAAGAACAGTCGTTTTTCTTTAATATTGTCATCAATTCGATCGATAATAAATTTGGGATTTGATGCATGGATCGTAAGATCNATGAGAAATATTTGCTCGAACTTGTTCTGTAAAACATTTGGAAACACTTTCATCAAATTCATTATTATGTAAAAGAATATCATCCCAAAGTTTAAGAAGAGAGTCCATATTATGACATAATTGAATCAACCACTAAAAATATAAATATATTTAATTAAAATCAAATTAGATCAAATTCGAAAAAAAATTTACACCAAATTTACCCTTGCAATTTCAACATAAGATTCAAATTTAATTTTCTGAGTATAAGGTTTAATGATTTTACATCCTTCAATGAATTTTTCTAATTTATCATCAGAATATTTTAAGGCTTTTAAATGATTAATGAAGGTGTAATCAGGATCAACTTCAGAAGCGATTGTAAAAATAATGAGCCAATCTAATTTAAATTTCATCTGAAAAGCATTATGCTGAATTAAAGTTATGATAGCAGTATGCATTTGATCTTTGGTGTCTAAAGGTAAGAATTCTTGTTTATAATCCTCAAGTGTGTTAAGCAATAAGTTTGATGGGAAATTATTTGGTAATTCATGAGGAGAGCCTTCTTCTCTTTTTTTTGAAATATAATACCCTAAGAGAACACATAAGAACAGTCGTTTTTCTTTAATATTGTCATCAATTCGATCGATAATAAATTTGGGATTTGATGCATGGATCGTAAGATCACTGTGAATGGTTAATAAGTGTTGATATTCTAAAACTTTATCTCTAAGGTTATTAATTTCGATAGAATCATAAATATAATCTACAAAGGCAAATTCATGTATTTTCCATATATCAAATTGATTTTTTCTCTGAACATCCAACGTGCGATTGTCTCCAGCATCAATTCCATCAAATCCTTCAAATTCTATATACGTAAGAGCTGTTTTAGGTATATGAATAGCATATTTGTATTGAATACTAGATATAATAGATATTGGAACAGGGTCAGATTTCCAATATGTTCGATTTTTTTGATGAAGTTTTACAATAGGGTTTTTCCAAGCACCTAATTCATCAGCATCACCAAGAACTACAGGCTGCCCAATTTTTTCAATATTTTCTGGCAAGTGAACGTGAAATGTGAATGTTTTTTTTCTTTCCATGAAATCAAAGTTTAAGTGAAAAGCAATGAAAAGAAAAAAAAAAAGCGGAATGGCGATTTTATAATAAATATGTTACACAGTGTAATCTTTGTCCCACTATTCAGTGACGCCCGATCAACCATATCCATCTTTAGCAGATTTTGTGATGATCATTCAAAATTATCTTAACTGTAGAAAATAAATTCTTTAGACTCGAATAACCAAGTTATTCTAAAAAAAAAAAACTTTGTGATATAGTTATTTTACTATGTACTAAATAATCCTTAGTTTCATTTGGCTCTTGAAATATTTTTACGCGGTTAATTAATACATTAAAGATCAAAAAAACTTGGAGAAACAAGACAGGCAGAATAATGGTCTAAGCAAAATAGTGGAGGCTGGTAGGATTTAACTTTATATTGGCTATAGGAAGGCAATATGAAACCTTAATTTGGTTTCTTTTTATTTTAAAAGTACAGATTTGATTTTTTTTTTTATACAGACTTTATTTAAAAAGATTTATTTGTAAATTATAGAATCTTCATTTTGGTATATGAAGTAGGCGTTAATATAACAATTAAATTTAATAATTTACTCACTCAATTTACAATATTTTTAATGCAAACAATACATATGGGTACTTCTATTATTTAAATCATTTATACAGTTACTTTCTATTATTTTTGTAAAAAATTTTGTAATAAAGAAAATATTAAGATTAAAAAAGAAAATACTAAAATTAAAGTTAAATAAAATCAGAAAATACCAAACTAAAGAAAATTATTAAATAAAATAAGATAAATTTAAAAAAAAATACCATAAAAATAAATTTTATAAATCTGAAATTATGAAAATAAAAATAAAATAAAAATAATAAAAATTTAAGAATACTAAAATAAAAAAATAAAATAAAATTAAATATTAAATAAAAATGAAATTAAAGAAATACTATCATAAAAATACTAAAGCTATAAACTAATAATTAATTTAAGAAAATAAATTATAAAAATAAAATTGATAGTATGTGCTAATATAGATCAAAAAGGTAAAAAAAAAAAAAAATCTAAAGCCATATACTAAGAATAAAATTTTTAAAAACAATATTCAAGATAAAATTAAGAAAACCATGATAGAATCCTAAATAGCATAGTAAATTAAGCAAATTTTTTAAATTTATACTACTAGCAAACCATTTATTCTATAATATTCATTAAAAAAAATAATTAATTTATAAAATTATTAAAATTGTATTATGAAAAAAAAGATCTCTAATGAAATTCTTTTATTAAAAAAAATTTCAAGCCAAAATTCTCAATACTCTTATTAAAAAAATTACTTTCAATAAATTCTCTATTAAAAGACTTATAAACAAAATTCTCCATCAAAAAAAGGCTCGCAAAACTTTTCAATACAACAATGAGAATCATCAACCATCTTCTTGTATGTTCGTTGGACTCAAAAGAAGAAAGACAGCTAACAAAAATTATCAAAAAAAACTTCTCTATTAAAGAAAATTTCTCTCAATCAAAATAAAATATCCCATCAAAAACACATTTCCCCTATTAGAAAAATCTTACTTATTCTCAAAGAATTACTATATTAAAAAACTTCCCTCCTATTAAAAAAATTCTTTACCAGGATTCTCTACCAAAAAAAAATCTCCCCTGTTAAAAAATTTACTAACAAAATGATCTAACTTTCAGCAAAATTTTTTATCTTCCTATTAAGGACAAATTCTTAGTGAAATTCTCTATCAAAAACAAACTCCATATTATAAAAAAGGGTCATTTTAATGTTCACCAGCACCACTTTAAATTTTTTTGCGTTTAAATAAAAACATGTAAAAACATGTAAACCCAACTTTAATTAATCTACCATTTACTAACAATTAATTTAGTAATGTATAATAATGTGCAATTTCATCATTATAAAAAGATTTTCAATAAAACTACTTTTTTTTTAAATGAGAACAATTGTTATTATCGTTTCGGATTACAATTCCGGTGAGTAAATTCACAAATAGAAACCCGCCGTATTGTCGATCTCGTCAAAAATATCTTTTTTTGTCCAATAGGGAAATTCAGGAATAATTTACTGTGCCTTTAATTTTTGTGTGATTTAATAGTTCATTTGTTTTTCCTAAAAAGTAAATAAACAAAATCTTAGATTATACGGAATACTTATTTTATATACTTACTTATAATAAACGATATTATTTTTATTTTTACTTATTTTTTATTTTTATTGATTTTTGTGAAAATATATGGAACGAGTTTTCCGCCAGCAGTGTATTTCAATTTATTAACCGTAATTTGCTGATCCAATATATTTATTATGCTTTTTTTTACATCCGGACCCCGGATAATTATAGTTAAGGTCATATCCGACTATGTTTTAAACTTTATACATTTTCTTTTAAAGAAGAGAATCTTTTGATACCAAAATTATGCAAATTTACGGATTAAATTTTGTTAATGAGGAAATTATGAACTTTACTTTATCATCATTTTCGTAAAAAGAAGATTCAAAAGTTACACTTTTTAAATTATTTTGTGTTAACCCATCTGAAATAAAATCAACGAATTTATAATTAACGATTGAATATTATTACATATTTGTGATAATTGATAAAAAAAATCGGAACATATATTTGAACGACACCATAATTCCGTAAGATTAATTAAACAAACTTTTGTTTCAGGTGAACAAACAATATAATTATCGACATCATATCCTGAATAATAATCCAAAGTTATCATTGATGAAATTTTACTCATAAGCATTTTTAATAATTCTTGTAATAATAAATTTTTATTATATCCAAAACCTCTTGAAGCAATATAAGGAAATCTTTGAATCATTCAATAGATTCCGTATATTGAAATAACTTTGAAAAATGATGGATAATTAAACAATGGAGGTTTTGAATTATAGTGACAATGAAAAATTGTAAAAGATCTTTTGATTCCTTAGGAAGACAAGAAATTAACGTATTAACAATTACATATATATGGCTTATAATCACAATCATCATTTTGAAAGTTCCAAACATCCCTCAATAAGATTCTAACGGAAATTTCACACCATTGACGATTAACTAATAAACATGAAAATAAAGTATTTTTATCATATTCTAAATATTCAAATACACAATTAAGACAATTGAAGATAAGTTGACGAGGCATTTTCAGAAAAAGAAATTTCTATGCTTAAAAAAATTTACGAGTTCATATATAAAAAAGGTGAGGTAAACTATTTTACCGAACCGAAATCAAACTTTACCCTTTTTTTGGATTGAAGATCTAAATAGTTCTAACCTTTTGGAAAAAATATTAAATATTTTTCCATTCATCAAATTTCTATAAATCACGTGATTTATTTTTTTTGTTGTGATTTGTGAATCCGTGTATGTTGGTAATAGTAGTTTCATGGTGTATTCCATGAAATAGTAGAAAATATAGTTAATATATATATTTGCCGATCTGTTGAGTGCATACTATGAATCCTGAATATCGTCACATGCATTCTTCGGATACTAAAGAAGAGAGCCGAAAATTATAGATTACGTATGTGCTTCAAATAAAGCAACTAAGTCTACTGTACTTAAATACATAATAATATTCAATTTATTATTAGTTTCCTACATCTCATTTTCTTGATTTGTTTTTAAATGTTAACCATGCAGGAAAATATGGAAATAAGTAAAATTCTAGGGAATTTATAAGTTATTTTTGATTTATCAATGACATTTTGTCATTCAGGTACACAAGTTGAGAAAGAAGAGGTTAACTTCACTTCCTCCATTTCTCACACTAGTCACAACTACTTCAAATACTACAGCTATTCCACTTTATTAACGGTGGATATATTATTACTGTATTGCAAGCAAATGATGCACATGGTAAATTTTCTTAAGGCGATGCAAGTACAAAGAAATGAATATCATAAAAAAGAGTATAACTTGGTTTGCTTATGATTTACTTTGTTTATATTTTCATAAAACTCATTGCTACGCACCGAGAACATTTTTATATAAACAATCTAAGTGTGACGGTATGAGTGAAAATTCGTAGTTACCGACAGGTTAAATTATCGTTACTGACACAGATAGGTGGTTGGCACAGCAAAATTATCAAAAAAATTATTAAACACAAAACATACTTCGCAACTATACACATTTATTAATTTATTCTGTTTAATATTTATTAATTAACTGTTATTAATGCTTTAATTGTGGCTAAAATTTATTATAAATATATTGTTCATATTGTATTATTTATATTGTATTTACATCATTGATTATTTTTCATCAAAGTCTAAAAAAAATTGTCAGCAATTTGATTGTCGGTAATTTAGGACCCAGAAATATATATATAGGGGTCAGGTGATGAAAAAAATTTTTTACTATGAGCTGTACGCATTTTTTCAGGGCCGGAATTATGATAATGCCAGTCGGTTACTATAATAGGAAATAAAGTCTGACTGGCATTATCAAAAATTATCTAAAAAAGGAAAGATTTTCATGACTTTTTTAGTTCAAAATACGCAAACTCAAACCTGACCCTTTTATATATATTTCTGGGTCCTGGTAATTTGTCTCTTTGTTTGTCCCTTCGGTAATTCGAATGTCAATTCGGTAATTTAACTGTCAATAATTTTGACCCAGACTCATTTTTTTTTAACAAAAAATTTAAAATTTTGTCATGGTTAACATCAAATCAATATTTGTTAACATATTTGTTATTTAAGTTAAAATGTATTTTTTAACTCTGGCCAATTTGTAATTTTTGGCCGGAATTAAGTGGTGAAATCACCGGTAGTGATAATCAAGATTTAGCAATATCCTAAATAATTATAAATTCAAAAATTATACCCACAAATAAACAAACAGTATTAAAAGCAACAATTTTTTATAATTTCTGAATATCAATCAATCAATTCTTTTTTCTTTTCTTCCTTTATGCTTTTCAGATTTGTTAAGCTATAATTATGATTCTTTTAAGTTTTTGGCGTAATTTGATTTTTGTTATTTTTTTTTTTATATAATTTCTTTAAAAATTTAGCCTTTAAAAACAATATTTTTTTTCTCAACATAAAATTTAAATATCGGTAATGTGACTGGGTCCCAAAAATTAATTTATGTAAATGAAAATTTCTTAATTTATTCATTGTTCATACTCGTATTACGTGACTTTATAGAAAAAAAATTATAAAAAAAAATTTTTAATAAATATAGTTTTAAAAGGAACATAGTATGATATGAGTATTTTTTTCCATTCTGCAAGTTTACTTAAAGCGTTAAGGTTGGTTTTTAATGTCAATTTTGACTTATTTAGCAGATTTTGGTTTTCTTCTGATTTCCCGCTAAATTTAATTCTGCCCAACATTAAATGATCAGCATAGAAAATTCCTTTTTTGGAAACCCGTGTTTAAACACAAATAGAAATAGTCATTATAAGTCTATTTTTAATGATTATTAATTCGAATTTTTTATATATAGAATAAAAACTTAATTTAAATTTAATGTATTTTATCCATTCATTTTTGTAAGAACATGTAATTACTTCCTTTTAATTAAATCACATGAACGGCAAATTTTATCATTACACAATGTATTTTTAAAGAAATTTCTCAACGCAGATCAGTGCATCGGAAAAATTATGGCCCGAAAATATTTATTTTATTGTAACTTCTACTTTTAGTTAAAGTATTCCTTTTAAGTAACCTCATTCATGAAATATTGAAAAAATTTTCGTCTAAAAAATATTTGTAGTAAAATAAACTTCTAAAATAAAAACAAATGGGAACCAAATTTAGTAAATCTAATATCTCAGTTACTGATATAGTAAACACCAAAAATTGTTTACATTGTAATAAACCCTTTACCGAAGAATTATGGTGTAAAGAATGTATTAATTCTTTAGAAAAAGCAGCAGAAAATGGTGATGAAAGGGCAATGCATAATTTAGCCTTTTGTTATTACAATGGAGGAGGAACAGAAAAGAATTTAGAAAAAGCCTTTTATTGGTATCAAAAA